CATTACTGGATGTTCTATGAGTGGTTGTCTAGCAGGTTTTGAAAACTGCAGACGTTTTCCTTTTACTTCCTACAAAGCAGTTGCATGCAGCATCGTACATTTGGGACTTTATGCCACTTTAAGCTCACAGTGTGAAATCACCTGTCGGCGCTCTGCAGCTCGGCTTTGTTGCTCGACTGAGACCCTGCCATTAATCTTCTGCTGCCCAGGATTGTAGGTCAGAGCGACCAGAATAGCTTGGTGGCACACAGGCTGCAAAATGCGGCCGGATGTTGCAGGACGAGGTGATATTTTTGGCATTTGACACACTTCAGACAATAAATCTGTTATGGTGTCACACTGTGTAGTTTGGCTGTACAGGTGTTGGAAGACCACCTTGGGTAAACTACGGATCACCGCTCGGCTCTGTCTTCGCCAACCTCAGTAGGAAAACGACTCCTGCAGGAAAGCAAAGACACTTCAGAGTTTAATCATTTAGCCCTGCACCATCATCCCGTCTGTCAGTCTGAGTTTGGTTCAACTAAAAGGCTGATATTTTACACAGGAGATATAAGCTGTTAATGAAGCCGACTTTCCAGCATGAAATCGAGTTTTTGACCTGAAAAAATCTAAACCAAAATCACGGATAGTTATCGTAAAAACTTTTAATTTAATGTTTTATTAATGTTTACAGGTGACTGACTGCTTTGACAGGCAGGTGGTGGTTGGGTTGAAGGGACACCAAAAGTCTTCATGAGCCACACCCAGAAAAAACAAAAGGTAGAACCACTTTTTATTTCCACAAAGAACCTTTTAGGCAACATGTTCTTTAAAAAAAAAAACAAAAAAAAAAAGCACATTAACAGAATATGTTGGAAGGTACATTCAGCATGGTGAAACACCAGTTTGTAGCGTTGCTGTTTCTTCTCCCAGACATTTGGAAAAGTGCAGGTTTTATATTCAACTTTTATTTCATTTCTGCAAACTGATCTGTGAAGAATCCTGTACGGTGCCTCAATAAATGTCCTGATTGGTTCCTTTAAATGAACGATGCTCCATTTACGGAAACATTTACATGATTGATTCAATAAATAAGCGCTTTTCTATGATTTTTCTGTAGTTTTTCCTTAAGTTTAACAGTTCTTTTAGCATTTTATATCAAACTATTCCATGTAAATGGGAGCACAAGCACGCAAACAAAGTGGTTGGCCATTTTTTTCATGTTCCTTTTTACTTTATTCCACTACAAACAAGTAAATTCTGGGAAAAAAAACGTCAGCTACATAGATGCACAAACACAACTGAATCCTAAAACCTTCAATTGTGGATCCAAACTAAAAGCACGGAACAATAAATGTATTTGACAGCAAGAGACAGGTTGATTTGAAGAACTTTTGTGTTTAAACTTCAAATGTAAGAACTAGTTTTTAATAAATTTTATATTTTGGGTTCTTGGTGGGACAGAAGATCATGTTATAAGATACCAGATGGGAATTTAGTTAATTACAAAAATTAGTTTGTGATGCTTTATAGACTAAATTGATAATCAAAAACAGAAATAATAAATAGTTTTAGCTCCAATTTCACACCTCCTACCAAATAATTCCAATAAAAATTAAGAAGTTTTAGTATTTTGTACTTTAAAGAGCCACAAAGTGCATGAAAGCGGTTCTTCAGTTGGCGAAGGCGCTTTAAAGAACCAAAGAACCGTTATTCCTGAACATTTTCTCCATAGTTGAGAAAGAAGTGAAAGACTTTGAGAGAGAAACTGTTGGAGAGAAAAACAGAGAGACAGAGTGAGAGAGAGAGAGAGATGTGGGTTTGAGGTTTGAGCAGCAGTTGCGCACAGAGCAGCCTGCTGGATGGAGGGAGGGCAGCTGCGAGGATAAATGCGCTCTTTCATTTCAAAGTGGGAGAAATCCGTGAACCGGAGGCGCGCGTTTACACCGACAGGAGCGCACAGAAGAGGACGAGACCCGTTCTGGTGCTGGTGTAAAGAGAAGCAGCGGAGTGGACCATGGAGCTGTCAGGGGAGTCGCGCACGACAACAACGACTAACCTCAAAGTTTGGGCTTGATGAGCGCAGTTTGGAGAGTTTGATCTTCAAAGACGCACTCCGGAGAGTCTGCGGGGATCCGAGCCGCTGCCGAGGAGGTGTTCCACATTTGTAATGGTTTAATGAGCTCCGTGTTGGATGAGACAGGTGCAGGGATTTCACGCAGCGTGGCTCACTGAGCTGCCAACGAGGTGTTCTTTCTCGATTATATGACAGTTTTTGCGCACAAGTCACTGTTTTAGAGGTACAGATCACAGACAGGAATTATCTCTCTTTTTTTTTTCTTTTCTTTTTTTGGAGTAGGTGTATTTTATTTTAAAGTGTATTTAACAGCTCGAGACTGCCTCTGTAAACCCAAGTCCTGAAGGGGAGCCCCACGCACAGCCGACATGCCCCTGCAGCACCGTTTGACCGGATTTTACGCATCTCTTGGGGAAAGAGCGAGCTGAAGAATTACGCGTGTGTGTGGTGGACATCGACATTCCCAGCAGCTCAGGGGAGAGCACTTTGTAAACAGACAGGGGGAAAAGAGAAAAAAAAACAGACCAGAAACGGAAAGAGAGAGGCTGCTTTCATTCGTTTTCATAAATGGAGCTGCGTAAATACCTGTTGTGCTTGGAGTTTATCCTCCTTCTCAAAGGTAAGATCCACTTTTTGAGCGTTTTCTGTTGTATTGATGCATGTTCACCTGTTTTTACATTTAAAAACCCAACTGAAAGTTTGTTTTTGAACAATTTAAAGCTGCCGAAGTCTAAAAAAAGCAGGTGAGTGACTCATTCTGTGAAGCTTGAACTCTGTCCTGTGAAGTGCTGCTGCCTCCTCACTGCTCCTCTCAAAAATAAGCGTTCTTAAATGGTTCTTCAGAAGGTTCCCTGGTTCCTCTATCACCAAATGAAGAACATCTTTATTTAGGGGATGGCTCTTAGTGTGAAGAGTCTTCATTTTTACTGGGTTTACTTGGTTTGGTGGCAGGTTAGCATGAAATTAGAGCCACAACTGGTGATGATTTTCTTCATTAGGTTCATAAAGCATCAGAAAACAGTCATAACTACTCGTCAAGCTTCCCAAATCTCAAGCTGGAATCGTGTCATCTGTTGTTCTGTCTGACCAACAACCCAAAATATTAAATGTGTTACGATGAAAGACATTCATTTAAGTTCATTGATAAATGTTTTTTAAAACTAGCTGTCAAGTTCGTTCAGTGTTTCTTGATTTTTAGTTTAGATCCATGTGAGTTTCAGGTTGTAGGTGCTTCATGTTTCTCCTCATAGTGAGAGTTTGTGTCATCTGTCACTAAACGAAGTAAAAAGGAATGTTTGCGTGCTTGTTTATTTAAAAAATAATTAGATTTCAACGCTCAAAGAACCATTCATGATGAGAAACGAAAAGAACTTTGTGCAAAATGGTTCCTAAACAACCTGAAATTCTTTGGAACACTTCTTTTTTTTCAACGTTCTTTAAGGCACCTTCTTAAAAAATCAGTTTACAGAAATGGTTCTTTAACCCTTTGAAATCGTGAGCAGTTTTTGAGCATGTTTGACCTTTACAACCTCCTCATCAACCGTAAGAAGATGTTGTTTACCGTGTTTGAACCGTGCTCTGTGGAAACACATCCTGCAGTTCAGCCCAGAACTCAGAATTTTTGTCACATGGTGTGTTTTTTTTTGCTACATGGCTCATCCATTGTGGTGACAAGTGCAGAATGTTTTTAAAACTTTTTTACAGAATCTGTTTGTAGTTGGTGAAAAAATGGCCAAATGAATCATGTAAAACTGAATGATTTTTGATTAAACATCACAATTTTAAGATGAGATTTTGTCAGTTTTCATGTTGGAAAAGTTGACAGGTCTGTCTTTCTAGTTTCTGGCTGACAAATGATGTCGTTTAGGCGATGTTTTTTTGGAGGGGGTTCAGAGAGAGGGATCAGTGGTTAGCACCGTCGCCTCGCAGCAAGAAGGACACCCGGGATCTTTCTGCGTGGAGTCTCCATGTTCTCCCCCCGTGCAGCGTGGGTTCTCTCCGGGTTCTCCAGCTTCCTCCAACAGTCCAGAAACATATTGAGGTTAATTGGTGATTCTAAATTGTCCGTAGGTGTGAATGTGAGTGTGCTTGGTTGTCTGTCTCTAAGTGTAGCCCTGTGATAGACTGGTGACCTGTCCAGGTGAACCGGCCTTCGCCCTGAGTCAGCTGGGATAGACTCCGGCCCCCCATGACTCGAGTGAGGATTGAGAGGTGAATAGATAATGGATGGATGGGTTCAGAGGGTCAACGAGCCATTTTTGGTTCCAGTTAACGCCTTAATTTTTCCCAGTGTCTCAGTGGCTGATTTGGTCGTTAACCTCCTCGACATGTTTGAATAACGGCGCCACACGTGTCTCCATGACTCCGTGAAGCTTTCCTTGGTGTGACAGCGGACCACTGACCACGAGGACATTCCTGGCGTGGTTCTGTGCAGATGAGGAGAAAAGCAGCTGCATTAAAACACCTGGCGGCACTCCATCTGCCAAATGGATCAAAGATTTAGGAAGCTGTGCACGAGTCCAACGAAATATGGCTCAAAGTCTCATCTGTAAATCTATCAGTTGGGCTGAAGATGTATTTCATTCCTGCTGGAGGAGCCGTTAGAGGTATCTGCATGCATCCTCAGTCGAAAGGTTACTGGTTCATCTCCTCTTACCGCCAACACCCCCTGACCTCGGCAGCTGCGTAACTCGACCTCTCCGATCGCTTCAGCCGCTTCCATCTTGATGTCTAAGGTTGCCCCTAATAAGGCGCCGGTGCCATGTGTGTTTTCTCCATGAAGCATGAACATGGGCTCGTGTTCGACCAGAAACAAAGTGAAAGAGCCATTGTTGTCTACCAGGACTGTGCAGTGGATGCATTAGAGCAGGCAGCCATGCAGCAGAATCAGGCCCAGAAATTAGTGCACAGCTTCTGAAGTTAATCTATAGATTGAAATGTTTGTGGCGGGCGATTATCCATGCCAACCATCTCCACACAACCGAGGAATGTATGAAGAGGTCCCACAGGCACATACATCTGTTGAGAAAATGTTCCCCGTGGTTAGTTTTTACACTTTACACTCCATTACCAGTTTAAATCGTGCGTGCACCAGTCCAAAACCACTTTAAAATCAGTCCAGAACCAGTTTAAAACATGTCTGAAACCAACCCCAAAACCATCCTCAAACCAGTCCAAAAACCAGTCCTGAACCAGTCCAAAACCCACCTAAAACCAGCCTATAACCTTTTAAAAACCAGTCCCAAACCATAGACTGGTTTGGACTGGTCTTAGATTCGTTTTGAACTGGTTTTTACACATTACCCTTCATTACTGGTTTGTATTAACCATGCACCAGTCTAAAACCAATCCCAATCCAAACCAAAACCAGCACAAACCCACTCTAAAATCTGTCCAGAACCAGTAAAATCCTGTCTAAAACCAGTTTAAATTTAGTCCAGATCCAATTTATTACCAGTCTAAAACCAACACCCAAGAAGCCTAAAATCAGTCCAAGATCACTCTAGAACTAGTCCAGAACCATGGGCTGTTGTAAAGCTGGGTTTGGACTCAACTTAGGTTGGTTTTGGACTGGTTTCTACACTTTACACTCCATTACCAGTTTAAATAATGCATGCACCAGTTCAAAACCAATCCAAACCAACACCAGCCTAAAAAGATTCTAAAATCAGTCCAGAACAGGTTTAAATACTGTCTTAAGCCAACATGAAACCAGTCTGAAATCAGTCCAGAACCGATTTAGAACTGCTCTAAGACAAAAACCAGTCCAAAACCAATCCCAATCCAAACCAAAACCAGCATAAACCTACTCTTTACACAATGTATTACCAGTCTCAAACCAACCCCAAAAGCAGTCTAAAATTAGTCCAAAGTCAGTCTAGAACTAGTCCAGAACCATGGGTTGGTGCAAAGCTGTGTTTGGACCGGTTTTATATTGTTTTTTTGACTGGTTTTAGGACAGTTTTGGACTGGTTTTGACTGTTTTTTACACTTTACACTCCATTACCAGTTTAAATCATGCATGCACCAGTTCAAAACCAATCCAAACCAACACCAGCCTAAAATCAGTCTCAAATTAGTCCAGAACCAATTTAAAACCAACCTCAAAACCAGCCTAAAACCAACCCCAAAACCCAGCCCCAAATGGGTCCAAAACCAGTCTAAAACCAGCTGAAATACCTTTCCAAAACCCACCTAAAACCAGTCAAAAACCAGTACCAAAACCATGGGCTGGTTTAAAGCTGGGTTTGGACTGGTTTTGAACTAGTTTTTACACTTTACACTCCATTACCCGTTGAAATCATGCATGCACTGGCTAACCTTTACCACCTTGTTCAGCGCGCAGCCTTAATTCGTACAGTAGCTGGTGTGATTTGTGTTCTTCTGTGTGTCTTGTAGGTGAGTGAGTATGTGTGTAATGTTAATGGATTCAGCAGAGCTCCCTGAAGCAGGCAGCAGCCTTCCCATGTCTGTTACACTCTGTTATGCTTTACTGAGATGTCAAACACAGGTGTGCATGTTTAACTCGCCATTCATAAATCCCCCCGCTATTATTCTCCCAGCTTCTCGTCGTCTTTTTTTCCCCCTCACTCTCGAATCATTTAATTCCTGCACTCCCCCTCATCTTCCACCCCCGTTTACCCACGAGAGGGTGACAGAGATGAGAACAGAACACGATGGAGATAATGGAGAGAAAATCTGTGAGAAGAAAAGGGGGAATGAGTGGGAAACGTTATGAGTCACTCAGATAAAGATGATAGAAACAGACAGTCGAGAAGACATTTCTGCTGAAGGACAGTTCAAAGAGGAATTAATCCACAGCCTCGTCAGATGTGGCTTTAAAAGACTGTAATCAGATAGTGACCAGTGCACAGACACTCCTTTGACCAGTGACTACAAAAAGAAAACACGTTAGAATGCAGCTTTATTCGAATGACAGATGAAACGTGGAAGAACGGACTGTTTTCATGCTGGATGCTGCAGGTCATTTAGGGCTGAAGTCATCCACCTAAATGTTCACAACTTGTTTTTGTTTGTTGTTGAAGAAATCATTTCAGACGGTAAAGTACGACACAAATCTGCCACATGACTGCAAACCATGAATCAACAACAGCCCAAACAAGCCCCTAATCAGTCCAAAAATCAGTCCAGACCACAAGTTTAAAACCATTCTAAAAAAAAACACTTAGCCATCAGTTCAAAGCCGGTCAAAATCCATCCTAAAAACAGCCTGAATCCAGTTCAAAATCAGCCTAAAATCAGCCCAAAACCAGTTTAGAAGCAGTTGAAAACCTACCGAAACCAATCCAGAAATAGGTCCAAACCCAGTCTTGAATCAACCCCCCAAAAATTAATCCATGCCCGTCTAATTCTACCTCAAAACTAGACTATAACCAGTCCAGATCCAGTTTCAAACCTACCCAATGTCCAGTACAAAACCCTTCTGAAACCAACCCAAAAACCAATCCAAAAATATTTTAAAAACAAACCCAAAAAGTTCAAACAAGTCAGAAACCCAACAAAAAAAACTGTTTAAAGCCAATCCCTAATCCAATCCAAATCCACACTAAAACTACTCCAAAACCAGTTTAAATCCCATCCAAAAACCAGTCCAAACCC